ATGTACCATGTACACTTGAGAAGAATGTGTATTTTGCTGCTTTTGCATGAAATGTTCTGTATTTATTTATTAAATACATCTGGTCCAATGTGTTGCTTAAGGCTAATGTTTCCTCATTGATTTTCTGTCTGGATAATCTATCCATTGATGTAGCCTGTAACTGTCTTTCCAATTGCTGTAGTTCCATGGAGCCCAAGAACACAAGGCCCCTTGACCACCAGGGCCAGATAATCAAGCAGTGTCCCCCCTGTGTAGACTGCACGGCCTGCTGGCTTTAGGGAGGCAGCTGGAGAGCGTAGGCAACAGGGCATACTTGATGGCTTTGTAGCAAGGGAGTGGAAAATGTCTGGACTGCACACACCTGCCAGCTTTAGCAAGAAAGCAGGATGATGCTGTGACCACTTGGCACTTGCTAGCCTTACTTTAGCAAGGCAGTGGGAGGGTGCCATGTTTGCATGTGCTCGCCTGTGCAAGCAGGGTAGAGAGTGCAAAAATAGTGTCCAATAGTGCCTCGGTTTCCAGAGAGAGGCCCAACTGTTCCCTGCCCCTCCAGCAGATGTTTTAATATTAGCAAGTGAATCTCTTTCACATATAGTCTATGTGCTTTTCAAACTTGTTTTTGTGCTGTGTCCCAGGGCAAGTGAGACCACATGTGACCCCTTTAAAAGGAAAATCTCAGGGGGCTGGACCAGTGGCATAGTGGTTAAGTTTGTGAGCTCTGCTTCGACGGCCCAGGGTTTGCAGGTTTGGATCCCAGGCGCGGACGTATGCACCACTCATCAAGCCATGCTGTGGGGCATCCCACGTACAAAATAGAGGAAGATAGGCACAGACGTTAGCTCATGGCTAATCTTCCTCAGCAAAAAGAGGAAGATTGGCAATGGATGTTAGCTCAGAGCCAATCTTCTTCACATACATACATACATACAAAAAAAGGAAGGCCGGCCCCATGGCGTAGCGGTTACGTGTGTGTGCTCCGCTGCTGGCAGCCCAGGTTCGGATCCTGGGTGTGCACTGACACACTGCTTGTCAGGCCATGCTGTGGCGGCGTCTCACATAAAGTGGAGGAAGATGGGCACAGATGTTAGCCCAGGGCCAGAATTCCTCAGCAAAAAGAGAAGGATTGGCATGGATGTTAGCACAGGGCTGATCTTCCTCACCAAAAAAAAAAGGGAGAATCTCAGTTCCCTACTGCCCTTTGTGTCCTTTGGACATAAACCTCATTTATTTTCTAAGCCAGACATTTTGGGGACTCATCTCTTTAGTGCAAATCACAAGGGTTGGGGTGCCTGATGTGGGGCAAAAACCTCTCACTCCTCCGGAAGAAGCTCTGGACTTATGAGATCCCTCTCTATTGTGGGTTGCTACACTGGGGATGGGGTTTTGGTGAGACTGTATCTCTGCCTCACCTGTCTCAATGTGGTCCTTTTATTCTTTGCTGTGGAGGAGCAGTTCAACTAGCTTTCAGTACTATTGCAGAGGGAATTGTTTCATATGTCACTGTAGATTTGGTGTGTCCATGGAAAGAGGTGAGTTCAGGCCAAGCCACCATCTTGGATTGCCCCCAGTCATACATATTTTTTTTAAATAGTTTTTTTAAAAAACTTACCAAGCTATTCATCATTTCTGTTGGTTTTCCTTTTTTTCTGAAGATACAAGTTTTCATCTGGTATCATTCTCCTTTATCCTTGAAACTTCCTTTTAGCATTCCTTGTAGAGCAGAGTTGCTGTTGACAAATTCTCTTAGTTTCCCTTCATCTACAGTGTCTTGATTTCACTTTGATTTCTGTGGGATATCTTTACTGGCTTGAAAGTTATTTTCTGTTAGCACTTTAAAGATATTGTTCCAATGTCTTCTGTCCTCTATGGCTTTTAATGAGAAATCCTCTGTCAAATAATTGTAAACCTATATAAAATGTGTCTTCTTGCAGCTGCTTTCAAAATTTTTAAAAAGTTATCTTTGGTTTTCAGTATTTTAATCACAATGTGCCCAAGAACGTTTTTCTTTGAGTTTATACTCAAAGATAAACATGCTTGGGATGAGGTGAACTTCTTGAATATGCAAAAGCCCATCTTTGTCTGCAAATTTAGGAGGCTTTCTGGAAAATATTTGTTCAACATTTTCTGCCCCAATTTTTTTCTCTTTTCCTTTTGGAACTCCAATTACACATATATTATTTTGTCCCACAGCCACTGAGGTTCTGGTCCTTTTTTTTTTTTTTTTTTTTTGCTGAGGAAGATTCATCCTGAGCTAACATCCATGCCAATCTTACTCTATTTTTTAGAATGTGGGCCACCAGCACAGCATGGCTGCTAACAGAGCAGTGTAAGTCCGTGCGTGGGAACTGAACCTAGGGTCGCCAAAGTGGAGTACACTGAACTTAACCACTAGGCCACTGAGGCTGGCCCTCTGGTCCTTTTTTAAATACCTTTTTTTCTCTCTGTTTTTCAAATTCAGTAATTTCTATGCTCTGTGTTCAAGTTCAGTGACTTTTTCTTCTGTCATATGCAGGCCACCACTAAGCCCATACAGTATAGTTTATTTTTCTTTCAGGTATTTTATTTTCAAATCTTAAATTCCATTTGATTCTTTTTATACTTTTTATTCCCCATTGAGAATTCTTATCTTTTATATTCAGTGTGCTTTCCTTTACACATCATGAAAAAAGTTATAATCGCTGCTTTAAAGTCCTTTTTTGCAATTCAATTACAGTCATGTGTCACTTAATGATGGGGATATGTGTCGTTAGGTGATTTTGTCATTGTGTGAACATCATAGAGTGTACTTACACAAACTTAGTTGGTACAGCCTACTATACATCTAGGCTATATTGCATTAATCTTATGGGACCACTGTCACATATGCTGTCCGTTGTTGACTGAAACTTCGTTATGTCGCACATGACCGTATTTTAAAACACATTGGGAATGTTCATTTAGTTGTCAGCTTTTGCTTTTTTTCCCCAGAGTATACAGAAATAATCAATGGGATGGATGGGGTGAGGTGGGCTTCTGCTGTTATGTTAGAATTGGATCTCTTATGCTTTCCTTTTTAACAACTTCTGTGATAAAGGATCTAAAGAAGGTGAATCTATTTCTCTGCAATCTGTTTGCTAAAGCTGCCATACAAAAGTATCATAATCTGGGTGGCTTAAAACAACAGGAATTTACTGTTTGACGGTTCTAGGGGTTAGAGTCCCTAATAAAGGTATCACCGGTGCCATATTCCCTCTGAGACTCTTGAGTAGAACCCTTCATTGCCTCTCTTCCTTACTTTTGGTGGTAGCTAGCAATCATTGTATTCTTTGGCTTGCAGCTGGATCAGTTCAATCTCTGTCTCCATCTTCACAAGACACTGTGTGTGTCTTTACATTGACTTCCCTCTGCGTGTGTCTGCATCCCAATTTCCCCTTTTTGTAAGGATACCAGTCACATTAGATTAGGGATCACTCTCATGACCTCATTTTAACTTGATTACCTCTATAATGACCCTGTTACCAGATAAGGTCACATCCTGAGATACTAAGGATTAGGAACTCAACATATCTCTTGAGAGGGATGCAATTACAATTTCCCTTCCTCTCTGAAATGTTTTTCAGCAACTATCAGCATTAGCATTCAGAGAATAATCTAAGAGAGAGTAAGTCATTTCATGATTATTCTCTTTCATACCATTATGGGTTATAATGGAATGGCAAATGGCCATTAAACTAGAATATTTAATATTGTTCAAAAGTATTTACTACTGATTATAAAAGAAATGATTTTTATAATGGAGGATGAGCTTTTAGTTGTTATGACAGTGTTCATTTAATGTAGGGCCTCATCATAATTCTAATTATATGCATTTTTATAATAAGCCCATCCCCAATATATTAGCATGTCCAATCTTTTCAAAGTGCACAAACACATATAAAAACTAAACCAAGCTGTATAGTATACAGTAGGGGGAAAGAGGCAAAGAGAAAAGGAGAAAGAAGGAGGATGGTAAAGGAGGCTCTATAAAATATGGAATAATATTTGAACCCACTTTAAAAAACACAGTTTAAAGACTGGCTTGTAGGGGCCGGCCTGGTGGCGCAAGCAGTTAAGTGTGCGTGGCCCGCTGCAGCGGCCCAAGGTTCGCCGGTTCGGATCCCAAGCGTGCACCGATGCACCGCTCAGCAAGCCATGCTGTGGCAGTGTCCCATATAAAGTGGAGGAAGATGGGCATGGATGTTAGCCCAGGGCCAGTCTTCCTCAGCAAAAAGAGGAGGATTGGCAGATGTTAGCTCAGGGCTGATCTTCCTCACAAAAAAAAAAAAAAAATTTAAAGACTGGCTTCTAATCACTAACACTGGGATAAACACAGATTTATCAATATTGACCTGTCAGATTTAATAAGACTTTAAAAAGTATTGTTTTAAAAATATAATTTCAAATAGTATTCAACATTGACAATGTATGTATAAAATATACTACAGTCTGCTTAAGGTCAAAGAAACAAGTGTTAAATTGTATGCAATTAATAATTTGTACAAACCCAGGTGATATGAATTCATATTAAACTGTAAAACTGCAGAATACAATATGTTTGGCCTATACCAAGTGAAATGTTATGCAATTAACAAAATGCCTTTTTAAAATAGTAAACAGTGCTGTTTTTTTTAAATATTACATGTCAATCAAAAGGTCTGAGTGATAATCTGATTCCAACAGACTCTTCCAGTCTGATAGTAAAGTAGTTCTTCAGCATTTAAAAACTTTACATCTGCAACTGATTTCATTCCATCAGCCAAAAGATGCATTTATACTATCACCATTACATTTTCAGAAGAGTTTAAATTACAAAACTTGAGAGAGCTTCAAAGCAATTCTTAATCTAACCATTCTGATCTTGATGGCGCTGTTCAAAATAATTTAGGACACTTAATAGAAGTGAAACCCTGAAACAAAATGGATAACAATTGTTCCTAAATCACATTATTTTAAATTTCCTTTCATAAATCAAATGTACCAACCTGGAGGGTCGAGCATTTTATCTCAAGCGACTCTAGGTCAACATGGAGACAAACGACAAATGAATGTCTTGTATCAGGTCCTGTAGCAAGTAGTTTTTGAGATGTAACAGCTAGAGTAGAGGTGCAACCCATAGGTTCCACTAGGCAAAGTGTCACTTGTTTTCCAAAAAGGCTATATATGCTGAAATGATGCAAGCTGATAGTCCAAGGAAAAGCATCACCTGATAAAGGAGATGAAAGGGGGTAGGGAAGCACACATACAAAGATGTAGTTAATTATCACTTGATAGTAAGTTGTCTATTGTCTAAATTTGAAATATAAAACATTTAATATGGCATCATAAAAAGTGGAGATAGTATCCCACAGACCAACGTGCTAAAGAATTTACATGCTACTTAAAAGTTATCTTTTTAAAATGTTTATATTTGTATTTATTATAACATACTATCATATAACTATGGACATTATAAAAATACAGAAATAGAAATTAAGGAAATGATATAAAGTATAAATAGAAGTTCTAGCTTCCCCTTTCCTTACTCTAGGGGGTTGTACTGTGCAACTGCTGGGGGTGTGTGCACTGTAACTTGGAGACCACAGAAAACATGTTAACTTAGGAAAACGCAATAATCTTTGTATGGACTGAAGGTGACCACAAATCTGGCTGTGGAATGAGAGAGGAAAAGAATAACCAATCTACTATGGTCTGTTGGGTGACCTGCACCAGAATCCTGTGAGTGCTTATCAAAAATACAGATTCCTGGTTTCTACTTCAGACCAACTTAATCAGAATCTCTGGTGATAAGACCCAGGATGCATTTCGGTCTTCTCTTGGTGATTAATATGTATAATATGTTATTTTTAAATAAAGTATACTTGATAAAAAAATAAGCACTCATAAATTTCAGAATTAAAAGCAATATTCCTTTCCTTCTTTTATAAATTTACCAGAGATTAATTCATTAATATAAATTTAGGAGATATAATCATCTTATTTTTTGTGGCTATTGATAAACTACTTTGTGAAATAATTTTTTAAAATGTACTCAGTATTACAATACTTGTAAACATTTATTATTGGGAAGCCAATTTGATAGAAAATAGTTCCTTTGACTTGTAGTTTTGACTTTGCAACTCTACGAGCACTTATCAGTGCTAATTGATACTGTATAGTATCAATTTCTTTTTAAGTAGCTCAATTATTTTAAAACAAATGGAAATATTTATTTTCTCATTACAGAGGTACTAGTACCTCACTGAAGATAATTTAGAAAATATAATTATAAAAAAGAAAAATCAAAACCAGTCATAATCCACCTTTTACCCTGCCACTCCCAATAATAAGCACTATACATTGTTATATTTCCTTGAAGTCTTTTTTTTCCCCTATAGTTTTGGACATGCCCTCGCAGAATCAGAACCAGGATCACATTGAACTTTTAGTTTCATGTTATTTTTCAGCAACAACAACAACAAAAAATCAAGTGAATTACTAAGTGGATCATACTACAAATACATATATTACAGGAATCTAAAAATGTATTTGAATTGTGAATGGTGATACTCAGTGGGTACAAGGTATATTCTCATAAATTTATACATTCAAAATGTCTTGACCAAATATAGTTAATAAAATCAAAATCAGAAACTTTGAAATTGAGAGATGAATAACAGAATAGATCTAGCTACATAGTAGTCCACAATAACTTGACTAGAAACAATGAAAACTGCGTAATAATACGTGGTCAGCACTGTGGTACTCTGTCTGTCTTGACACTTAAAATATTTTGCCCCTGTAACAACAACAATAAACAAACACATAGAGACAGAGATTGGATTGGTGGTTACCAGAGGGGAAGGGGGGAGGGAGGAGGGTGAAAGGGATAATTCAGCACATGTGTGTGGTGATGGGTTGTAATTAGTATTTGGGTGGTGAACATGATGTAATCTATGCAGAAATAGAAGTATAATGATGTACACCTGAAATTTATACAATGTTATAAACCAATGTTACTGCAATAAACAAAAAATTAAATAAATAAATAAATAAATAAAACAATAATAAGAGAAAAACAAAACTGAGTGGAGACAACAGTAGTCACACAGTTGGGAAGAAATGGATTTAGTCTAAGGATGTCACTACAAAAAGAAGTAAACAAACATAAAAGAACAACAACCCTTAGGGGAAAATTAAAAATAGGCACACCTAAAACATTGAATATTTAAAAAATTTTAGACATACAAAGAAAGAGGAGAGTGTGCTCTATTCCAGAAAACAGAAAAATGCAGTCAATAAAAACTCTGAGTGTCCACAGATGTTGGATGTAGCACAACAAAAGACTGCAATGCAGCTATTATAAATGTATTCAAAGAACTAAAGAACAACATTTTCAAAAATTAAAGCAAAGTATGATAACAATGAATCAACAAATAATCTCATAAGAAAATAAAAAAAGAAACAAATCAAACTTTAAAGTTAAAAAGTAAGATTGAAATCAAAAATTTAGTAGAGAAGCTCAATAGCAGATTCATAATGGCGTAAGAAAAAAAATAAATGAAGCTGAAGACAGAGCAATAGAACTTATGCAACCTGAAAACAAAAAGAAAAAATACTGAAAAAAAACTAAGAGCCTCAGAGACTTGAAGAACAACATCAAGTATACTAACATCAATGTAATGTACGTGCCAGAAGGAGAGAAAAGAGAAAAAAGCAGAAAAATATTTGAAGAAATAATGGCTGAAAAATCCCCAAATTGATAAATAACATTAACACATACATCCAAGCAGCTTAACTAAGCCCAAACAGAATGAATACTAAGACATAAACACCTAGATACATTATAGTTGAATTGTTGAAAGCTAAAGAACAAGAGAAAATCTTGAAAGCAGCAAAAGAAAAATCACATACAGTAGAAAATTAATATGTTTAAAAGCTAATTTTTATGTGAAATAATGGAGTTCAGAAGGCAGTGGGAAAGCACATTTAAACACATAAAAGGAAAAAAATAATCAACCAAGAATTTTATAGCCAGCAAAACTATATTACTAATATTAAGGTAAAATAAAAACATTCTCAGATAAGCAAGGGCTAAGAGAATTCTTTGCTAGCAAAGCTGCCTCAAGAGAAATATTAAAGAAAGTCCTACAGGTGGTAATTCAAACGCACAGGAAGAAATGAAGAGCACTGGATATGACAAATATGTGGGTTAATATAAAACAGTCTATAAATGTATTATTTCTCATTTCTTCTGTTACGTACATTAAAAGGTAGTTGATTATATAGGGCAATAAATATAACACTGTATTGTTGGGTTATAATATATAGAGATGTAATATATGTGTAAATACAAAGGGGTAGAGAATAGAACTATGATAGAACAAATTTTCTATAATTTACCAGAATTAAGTTAGAATATGTCTGAGGTAGAGTACGATAAATTGAGAGGCATAATATAATCCCTAGGGCCACCATTTAAAAAATACATAATAAAAAATCAGTAAAGGAAGTGAAATGCTATACTAAAATACACATTTAAAACAAAGGATGTAGTAAAAGAGAAACAGAGGAATAAAAAACACAAGAGAGACAAATAAATGACCATTTTAATTCAAACATATCAACGTTACATGAAATATAGATAGTCTAAACACTCCATTTAAGAACAAGAGATTGTCAGACTACATAAAAATGCAAGCTCTAACTAAAGACTGTCTAAATAAGAAACACCTTCAATCAAAAAGACAACCATGTTTAAGCAAAAGGATAGAAAAGATATACCATAAAAACCATAACCATAAAAAGTTGGAGTAGTTATGACAAACAGATAAAATAGATATAGGAAAATAAGTATTACAGAGACAAAGAGGGATATAATTCATAATGATAACAGGGTCAATACTTTAGAAAGCCATAACAATTATGTGTGCATATACATTAACAACAGAGCTTCGAAACATACAAAGCAAAAACTGACAGAATTTAAAGAGAAAATAGACAACTAAACAATAATACTTGAGTATTTCAATACTCCAGTGTCAATAACTGATAGAATGACTAGACAGAAAGTCAGTAAGGCTATAGAACAGATGAACAACAATAACATCAATCAACTCAAACTAACTAAAATGTGTAGAACACTGTACCCAACTACTGCAGAATACACATTCAAGAACATATGGAACATTCTTCCAAAGGGACCACTTACTAGTCTATAAAGCAAGTCTTAATAAATTTTAAAGGATTAAAATCATACAATATATGTTCTAGACCACAATGGAATTAGACTAGAAAACAGCAACAAAAAGAAATATGTGAAATTTTCAAATATTTGGAATTTAAACCACATACTTCTAAATAACCCACTGGTCAGAGAAGAAATCATAAAGAAAATTATAAAATATTGTGAGTAAAAGAAAATGAAAACATATCAAAGTCTCTGGGATACACTTAAAGCAGTGCTTAAAGAGAAATTTATAGTATTAAATGCCTGTATCACACAAGAATAAATTTCTCAAATCAGTAACCAAAGTTTTCCCCTTAAGAAACTAGAAAAAAATAAGATGAAACTAAAACAACGCAAGTAGAAAAAAAATAATAAAGATTAGGGCAAAAATCAATGAAACAGAAAACAGAAAAACAACAGGAAAAAATCAACGAAACTAAAAGTAGGTTCTATGAACAGATCAGCAAACTGACAACGAGTTAGGGAGGCTAACCTTGACTAAAGGAGAGAAGCCACGAATTACCAAAATCAGAAATGAAAGAAGGAATATTACTAACTACTCTAGAGAAATTAACAAAGATTAAAAGGCAGCATTATGAACAACTCTATATGTCCCAACAAATTAGTCAACTTGAATGGATAATTTTAAATTTAAATTGGCATTATTATTGGGGAGATGTTGTTAAAGGTTACAAACTTGCAACTAGAAGATGTACAAGTTCTGGAGAAGTAAAAACAGCATAATGATTATAATCAACAATATTGCATTGTATACCTCAAAGTTGCTAAGAAACTAGATCTCAATGTTCTCGCCACAAAAAAGAAATAATAATTATGTGATATGTCAGTCATATTTCAATTAACAAAACAAATTTCCTTTAATGAGAATATGTTACCTTGGTATCATTTGAAAAACACATTTTTAAGATCTTAAGACAATGTATATTATACAGTTTATTTAAAAAAATGATCAGGGGCCAGCCCGGTGGCGTGGCAGT